TCACTCTAATAGTAAATGTCTGTAAAWAGTGACAATTGTTTTCTTTCAACAGCTAAAAGAGGTTATTCTACAGTATTACACASGAAGACTATTATGTATGACTTTCACAAACATTAATTTATAGTTTGTGTAACAGGAACAAGTGTAACCTAACTTGCTGTCAGTGTTCAAATGTATTGAATTTTATTTTGTAATTAACATTTTCATATTTTTTTGTGTAGTACCTGTAATTATGTTCCCTGATAGCATAGAGCGGATTTCGTATGAGTGGGACACCGTTACCGCGCGGTTACCACACAGTTACCGGACCTAGCCTGCACAATTTTTGTGAAGCAGGGTACTAGAATTTGGTTACAGTACGATTACGGTTACAGTACAGTACCGTCCGTTTCCCATTCATACGAAATCTGTTCTAGTCTCCCTCATTACTCACTGAGAACTACAACTATAGAGACTCTGCTAGCAGGGAAGTTATGATACTATTCTTTGTTTTCAAGTTACGTCATGTCGGCCATCTTGAAGGAACTTAAACAAAAGTTTTCTCATTAGTATCTATTGTCCATTCCTCCAACATGGCCGATGGTCTTTTATGTTTTGAATCCCACGGGAATAGTTGAAAATGATCAATATTGAAATACAAGTACATTGTAAGCATGTTTTGTACTTTTGATATTTTTTAGTTCTTATTCAATGTCAGTAAAATGTGTAAAAGAACAAGTAAAATGCTGTTTTTTTCTGTCAAATAAACGTTCTCTGTAATGATTAGAATATAGACTCCACATTTTCTGGGTCATTAAAACTTTTACTACTAAGCCTTTTCACTGTTTAAAAATGTGACAGTTTTTAAAAGGCTGTGACTGTGTTTCTGGATAAAAATGTTCAATGACAAAGTACGCAAGGAAATGATAATCATTAATTTACAAGGGAATATTGGATTTTATCAGTGACACATAAAATTTATGCGTATTGATCTTCTTAACAGTCCTGCAGGCAGTACAATTCACTAATTCTTTCTTTTTTTATACTCTAATGGATTAAAAAAATAAATTCTATATCATTACCAAAAGCTGATATTGTTGCTGTTGTCAATTGTGTGAGTGATGTTGGTCAAATTCAGCTTTAGGATGTCAAGGATGTCAGGCTGAAGGATGTTTAAAAGAATTGGTTTTGGGATTCCTGTGCCTTTCCCATGATGCATCGATACATCYTAGCTTTGGCGCATTAGCGTGATTCAGAAGAAGTTCTCGTTGTTTTCAGCTGYCCTCATTCAGTTTTATCGGAAGCTAAACTAGCATATCGTGTTTTATTTTATCTTTGTTTTCAAGAATTTCAAGGTAGGTTTAATCACTTCTATGCGATCACACTCTTTTCCTCATAAATCGTAGGGGGACACTACGAACTCGATTCAACTCTACTATAACTTAGTAGCTGTCATCAAATTTGGAGYACTCGCTACACAAAAGTTCATTTGAAAATATCCGTAACATTCCAATATAAAAGCTATATATTCCGGCAAAAATTAGTTAAAATTTTTGCGTTATTTAAGTTGTTTGAATTTAAATAAGCTTAACTGTCATCTTGAGCCAGACACTCAAAACTGGTGGAACGGTCCGAACCGACGATCCATGCAAAGCTAGGTCATGAAATTAAGCTTATAAGAATATTCAATTTTTTATAAATTTTCCTAAATTAGATTAAGGCATKGTTAATTATTTGTAGCTAGCGTAGCATTCTAGTGTGGAATCTCTTTTCTTCTGAAAGAAGTTTTGAAAAAGTTTCTATGAAAGTYAAWGCAAAAAATTRGCTTGAGAAATCCTCACAGGCGTTCCTATTTTTTTTTCTTATATAGATATTCTTAAATCGTGAATTCTTTTTCACATTTATATAGAAAACCTCAAGTAGTAACTATAAACATGTCAAGAGGAGTAACCAGAGTGTATGTAGGAAACCTTGGCAGCAATGGAATCAAGTCTGAAATTGAGAGAGAATTTTCCAAATTTGGTATAATCAGAGATGTTTGGGTCGCTCGCAATCCCCCAGGCTTTGCATTTGTTGAATTTGATGACCACAGAGATGCTGAAGATGCCATCAAAGAGCTCAATGGACGTCGTGTTTGTGGTGTGCGTGTTCAAGTTGAGCTGTCAAATCATCAAGGCCGAAGCTCACGCAAACCACCTCCTTCAAACCGGGGTAGGAGCCGTTACAGTCCTGATGACAAATATAGTGATAGGTATGGACCTCCRCGGGGTCGTTATGATGACGATAGATATGGAAGGTATGGTGCTTCTAAAGAATTGTTTATTATATAGTCTTGAATAATTCTAGTTTTTTTAATGGATTTGTGGGAATTTATTGAAACATGAATGTTTGGAGGTTGTATAAGTTTGTTGACTGCTATTAAAATCTAGATATTCATAGACTGAATTAATCCATTTTCATCTCGCAGTGCTATCCTGAAAGGTGGGATGCCTTTGCATTAAAATATGACAATGRCAGTGGTTGGGCTTGTAATGATAGATACCTGTCAATAAGTTACTGTCTCAGGACCAGTTGTAATTCGTGCCCTAATACTGAAATAATTTCAGCACAATAGTTAGCTTTATGCTTGAATCATTGTTTTTAGCCTTTGCTGTGTGCCAGCTGCCAGCTGCCAGGTCAAAACTAATTCTGTGTTGTGCCTAATGTTTTCATACGTACATCATACATGGCAACAGCAAGGCAAATGAATCAACTTCTAGCTGAGAATAAAAGGTATCAATCACTGTAGGCTAAACCAGTGTGAAGCTTTGATACAAAGGCTCTGCTACAGTACATCTGCCTTAAAAGATAGTGCTGGCCTAATTGCAGTTAACAATTTTCATTTACTTAWATCTACTCATCCATTGAATTTGGTTTTTCCTTGAAAACCCCTTAATGAATATAAGGCAAAAATCCTTATTGCGATGTTTCAAAATTTTCCTTATCTCCCTGGAGTGCTGAATGAAAAATCCAAGATGAATCTTAGAGCCTCATTTGCATTATGCTTGGTGTGAATTGGGAGTGAAGATTGCACAATATCTCGTATATATATTTTGTTTCTAATATGTACTTTATAGTGAAAAGCCTCATTATATTATATGTGTAAATGAAGATTCTTTAATGCTGTTTTACAGTGCATGCAATATAGCTTGTTTTTAACTGGTTGCGTCAGTGCAACATTATAACTTCTGACAGTGTCATTGCCATTTTCAGTCCATTTAGGTTTGGTTAAAGTCATCGGCACACATTTCAACTCAACTCAACCCCCAACACATAATGGGCTACCACCCCATCACAAATCACCTCAACCCCACCGCCACAACCTTCAATAGTTCAACTCAAGCTCTGATATATCGTCTAGGATAAGTTCTCATCAGTCAAGCATCTTGGACAAAGAGAACCACCGATTATGCTAAAATTTCTCTTGAGTTGAGATATTTAGGGCTTGTAAAATCAGTTCTAAGAAAATTCTAAGCTTTTGCAAGTAGTAGAGTAGAACTGCCAAAAACGACCAGCAGATTACAACTTCTTTCAATCCTCATCAACATCAGAGTCTACTTGTGGTTTTTGACAACTATCTCGCCATCAAAATCAACCTGATTGACAGCAATAGCACCATCTTCTACAAGATGTTGATAATATCCTGATGATATGACCAAGGTTCTGTTGGTTGAGAGCTACTAAAGGATACCAACATTATTTCCTAACAGCATCAAAGCATCATTTCCTGACCAGTGATTTTAACTGCTGTGATCATTTCATGCATCCACACCGATCCCCAATATTTGCTGTTGATGAAATGATGAGAAAAACTGCATAATCTTTTTTTAGGATGGAGTTGAGTGTTGTTATATGGTAATACATAGCATAAGTAATATATTCGATTACAACTGTAGCTCATGCACAAATTATACACAAACACACAAACTTTGTATATTCTAGTGTTTACTATAATTTTGTTAGAAACTATTGACGTGCATAAATATTAGCTGTAGACAGCTGTCACTCAAGTCAATTGAGAGGCATTTTAGTCTATAGCAATCATTCACATGTAGACTGGATTCATACAATGCAGCAATACGAAAACATGTGGTGTTATGATTAAATTTGGAAGTAGGCATCTGTTCTGAAACAGTAAGGGTATTTGAATCATAAGGATGAGATACACGCATTTTTTGGCAAAAGTAGCTGTTTGCCAGCTTGTAATGAAAACCTGCATTAGTATTTTGTATAAGTGCATACATGATGTATTCTTCCAATAAATCTTTAAATACAGTCAATCCAATCAACATTATTAATCACTTGTAAAGACATAATTAGACAATACAACAACAAAGCTATTTTCATTAAAAAAACGTTTTTTTAGAATTACCAGGAAAAATTTTAATTCTAAACTTTAGATAATTGTCATTGTAAAGAATTCTTGGAACTTCATGTTGAATATTCTTGCAGCAAAATAAATATGATATAAGCAAATTATGACACTATGTTGGTGTTCAGATATGACTTCACAAGTAAATGGGATTGACTGTATATTATATAAAATAATACTTGAATAAATATTATAAAATTCAAATGTTATTATCAGTGTTAATGTTCATTAAGATGTTCATTCAATTTTACTTGTTCATAGTTGTGGGTTATTAATGTAGATTTTGGATGAGGGCACAAATCTAACATTTATTTTGATACATGTAATACAGCCTTTTGCAAAAATTATGGGAAATTTTAAAATATCTAAATATCATAATATCAAGTGCATGATGGGTAATCCCGCGCGATGCCCTTAGTCCCTTGTCTTTGTAGTTTAGTTTTTTTTGGCGACAGACTTATCCGTAGTTCTGAACATTTTCTCGATGTCAACAATGAATTATTCTAGCAAACCCGTGTGTTCCGGACAATATATGGATATGGATATTATGATATTTAGATATTTAGACAATTCTCATAATTTTTGCAAAAGGCTGTATGTATCATTTAATAAATAAAATCTAAATTTATAACTTCATTATCTTGTATTAATAATTATAATAATAGAAATAGATTAATAATTTAAATTAATGATTGTCATTTTTTTAGAGAACAACGTGGAAGAAGAAGAGAGCGAACACCAGAATATTATGACAGTTTTTTTAGAGAACAACGTGGAAGAAGAAGAGAGCGAACACCAGAATATTATGACAGGTAAATTATTCATTTTGAACTATATATCATCAATATGACCCAGTGTGAAGATATTGTCATTTGTATTTTTAATGATTCATTGTCATTGAAGGAGTTCAAGAAGGTTTTCCAGAAGCAGATCGCGCAGCCCTCCTCGATACTAACTTTAGCAGGTTTCTCAGGTATGACATCTTTTTGTTACATGTATCAATACTTTTGGATTCTCAGTCGCCATCTTTGTTCTGTACTCAGCAGTTTTTTTAGTCTCCTTTGCAGCCTCCCATTTTGTCAGGCTTCCTGTCCTTCCTTTTGGGAGGAACAGGAAGCCCGACAAAAGGGGAGGCTGCCAAGGAGACCACAGCCTTTTTAGTCACTATGATTTTTGTTTGCTTTCAGAATGCAACGTGTACAATCTGYTTACTTCGAGTATGAGTGGCATATGATGTGGTGTTTTTGTGATCCAATATCACCAACAAAACTGCCTTTATTAATAGTTTGATTTGATTTTGATCATTTGACCCAGCTTAACYRTAACARCTGCAACATTGACAATTCATTGCCACTTAATTGCTTGTGAAACGTTCGTTTTTTAGTTTTGTTCGTTTTTAATGTATATAAATAACATTAAATCATAGTACAGCTTCTWATTCCAACTTTAGAGTGAAAGCATTAAAACTATGGTGTTTATGGCCTGTCAAACCTCAGAAATTCACCAAACTACTACAARAAGGCAATAATTTGATTAATTTGTACAACAATGCATGATGGGAGTCGTAATCGTCGTATTTTTATAATCATTCTCTGGTCATTATTCAGAAACACGTGATGTTCGTGCAGTACATCAAGTTGTTACTGGTGWGCCTAATGTGGCCATGTTGACGAAAATATTCCCCAAACAAACTGTTTTTTGCTTTTCTTTTAAACCAAAGGAGCCAGTTAATGTGCCTTTTCTGTAAAGGAAATACAAAAACGGCATCCATGGACTATTTTCGTGGACATAAAAAGGGCGTGGACAGCGAGTACATTTCCCATCATACTTTGTTCTACAAAATGGCGTCATCGTATGTCGCGATTCACATTGTTTATACACCTTCATGAAAACCGAACGAACTCCGAATATTCACCGATGAGATACAAGATTTCCGTTAAATGCTCGGAGTCTGCTTGGTTGTGAGGAGGGAGTCTCAAAAGTTGGGTTTTGATTGATGGCAGCAAAAAACGCGAAATTAGGTTGGCATTCGGCCGGTGAGAGTCCATGTGTGTGCAAACATCGAACCTCAATTTCTGTAGTTTGTACATGGTCGTGAGAAGTAGTGACAAGTGTTTGTAAACATATGTATTGCAGTGTCATTTTATGCGTAATATTTTGATTTTGATTAGTATTAGATCAATAAATATAGATTCTGTAATCCTTTTTAGATAAATGTTTGTATTTTTTATGTTGGTTGAACCAGAAGTACATATGTACTTCTGGTTGAACCAAGTCGTTAGGTGTAACAGGTCCGTAGATATTGGGGGACACTTTTGCATTTGCACATTAAGGTGAGGGTGAAGGAGACTGGGCTGTGAGGTTTACTTTTACCCTACCAGGCTAGAGCTCTAGTTATGGCTAGTGCGTTAGATGTCGTGCGCTCTATAACTTTGAAGTGGCTAAAATACGAAAAGAACAGACGACTTTAGACCTTTCTCCTGTGGCTTACTGGCCTTCTAACTGCGCTTACGAAATACGGATATATACTAGATCGAGGTCGGCCTTTTAGTGGCAGGCTTTTCCCTCCCCCTATTTTCCTTTTAGCTAGAACTATAATAACATCTAGAAATTTTGTTTTTTTTAAATCGAACTTTTATTCATTTTTCGTTATATACATGTACAAAAGAAACTAAAGAAAGTGAAAGAATGAATAATCGTGAATTAAACGAGAAAAAAGTTTGTTTTGATCCAGTTAATGTAGCTGGCCGTTTTACACATGCTTTTTGTTTTCTTCTAATTGTTTATTCTATTTCTGAAAGCTAAAAAACTATAAAATTAGAAGCAAGTACACAAAAATACCGCTTATAACAAAGGATGCTTTAGTGTAACTTTGAAATGAGAACTTTCATGGTCGGAAAAGAGTATCGGTGAATGGTAATATGTTAAATGTAAAAGATCTATACTCGAAAGATTTTCAAAAATCTGTGAAATATACTCTTGGAAAGTGCGCTTAACCGAACAAAACAAAGGCAGTCAGAGTAATATATAGTACGTTAGAGTATATTTCTCGGAATCAGGAAACACTCGGAAATACTGAAAACGCCTTAGAGAATATAATCAACCCACTCCAAATAATACAAAAAATATACTTGTTGGCAACTAGAAATTGCTTTTTTATACCGTGAAACAGTTACTCAGGTGATACTGGCTTTTAACTAGTACCATGTAGAGTACGTCATAGCACACCTGCCAGCTATTTCATGGGTTATGTGCAACTACTCAGTCTATTTGGCAATAGAAAATGTTCAATTCAAAAAATATTACTTGTCGCGCGGAGCGCAATAGCTCTATACTCTAGTGACATCASTTTTCATATTAGGTAACGTCTTGACTTGCGTTAAACGTTAAKACAGCCATGCATCCCTTGCGTCTTCCAAAGCGTTTATGTCTTATTCAGTAATATAAGTCTTTTCAAACTTTTATACAACAAATACTTTCAATTTGGGTGTTGCGGTAACGGGAATAACGGCGAAATCACTGTACCAATCAAAGTTCCTGAATTTGATAAAGGATAATTTGAACAACTCGGGAAAAGAGTGAATCTACTTGAATGGTTATTTGAGATAATGTCTACAATGAAGTAGTGGACACTTCCTTGATTACTACCGAAGGCACGTCACCGTTTATAGTTCCHTGTGTATCGCTTGCATGTTCACAATCATTCATGACAGGGTTGTCAAAACTCTGCAGCGGGGCACCAGGAAGCACGTTGGTGGCTTCATTAATTTCTGGTGGATTTTCTAAACCCTSATTTTCAGCTCTCCGACGYCCAGCTTCCATCCAATATTTACGGAATGTCAAGATGGCGCCCACGATGAGCACGACTAGAGCTATGACYGCACAGGAAAGTGCCGCGGCACTGGCTTCATCCATCACAAGAACTATATGGTACTATTGATAGGAAAAAATACTTTAATATATATAATCATAAAACTATTATAAAATCAATAAAACTAATTATTTTACACTGATTTTAGACGTGAACTCGCTTGGAGCTGACTACTGCATTAGTATTCATATTTGCAAAGAAAAAGCGCGCGCKCGTGTTAAACATACATTGATAGTACCTGTRAGGTACTTAGTTAAAGGTATTTATGTTCAAACTGAAAGGATGGAAGACGATTCGCGCTCACTTTATGAAATCCTAAGAATCCGCCATTTTCGTGTCCACCTAAAATGGCGCTTTGGCTCGGCRGTTGGTTGTGATTCTTTAACGTATATGTATTGCTGGGTATTAGATGTCAGTACCAATGCATTTTTGATCATTTTCGCGCAATTGGCGTGATTGTGGCTTGCGTGCCGGGCTTTTCCCCCCTCAACCGGGCCAAAGCAAGTGTCCGCATGCAGGATATCCTGTAACCATCGAAAAGGTCATGGGTTTTTCTTTTTTATTTGCTGTTGTTTTTAGTTTAGTTAGTTTAGTTTTCTCTTTTGTTTTGAAGTCTTTGCAGTGTCCAAAATGTTTGGGCTTCCTGCCCTTCTGGAAATAAGTTCCATGCATGTTTGTTCCAGAGAGTTTAATCTTACTTATTCCATCTTATGGCTACCATCTCGGAAGTGCCGCAGGAAAAAGTATTCCCTTGTTCCCCCAAAAAATATAATTGAACGAAACTGAGTGCAAAATCTAAGCTCGCTTGTCCAATCAGAGATAGTAGGGAATCATTTCTAAGCCAAAATTCACAAAATAMATACTTTTTTTGCTTCTACATTTTTAAAGGTTTGCTGAATATCTCATTGCGCAATTTTAATTTCAGGTGAAGTATGCATTTAGGTCACAGGAAAAGGCAAATTGTCATTCATTTTAGACATGTTTTGACAGTGTTACATGCATCATAGTGTGGTCTGGTCGTTGATATATGTTTTATTTGAGGTCTGGCTGCTGAGCAAATAAACACAAAATTCCAAGATTTCCTGCCTYAAAAAATCAAAGATCACGCATATATATATGCCAAATGCATAGTCAGTCGCATGTCCCAAGTAAATTAATTGGATCGTATCAAAATACAGATTCATTCGAGTATATCCTCGCTAAGACTACTGTATAGATTCTATAATAGTACACAGAAGCCGTTCCAAATCTTTTAAATCACGGATGCATATGAAAATGTAGTATCTTCTGTTAGTCAAACTGAACTGAACTGCAGTTCATATCGTATATTCTAAAAATACATACTGCAATTATATAATATTCATATTCTCTAGCAATTGATACGTAAGTGCAATTTCACGTCCTATTAAAACTAGTAAGTTCGCTATCAACATCTCATCAACCGTGTTTTCTTTTGTTATGAGTGGATTATCTGATTCACTACATTTCAAGCAAGCAGTTATCAAAATTATTCCAGTTTGAAAAGGACAGTATGCACAATATTTACCTCTTGTTATTTCATAATTCAGAGACAAAGAAACTTCGTGTATTAGGTGACGCCATTTAAACTTGCATGCAGCGTTACGAACGAATTTTAATTACACGCAATKCAAACCACTTCTAAACTATCCCATTTACCTTATATTTTGGTTCTTCTTATGTATTCAGTCCTTTCCAATCCTCGGTTCTCGTTGGTTTTCGCTGGTTCAGTTTATTTGTTGGGTAACAATACGAGCAAAACTGCACCTCATCAAGTGACGCTGTTTGAAATCWGGGTAGTATGTTACTMGTCTCGAGATCCGATGTCCGACAAATGATGATCGCTTGGAATGGTGGATTGAGGACATCAGACTGTGTATATGGCGTCCGAGGAAATGATTCATTGAGTTGCAGAGTTAATTGAAAARTCTTTAAAATGGCTCACTAATAACTAGAAAAATTGCTATATTTTGACCTAGTAGAAACGTTCCATTRAAAATCCAAAAGTTGCGTAAGTTCCCTGATGTGCATTTATACAATCCCACACTGTTGTCTAAGTTTTGACGGGSTTTTAGCTTTCATTCCCACACCGTAAAGATTGTAGWAGAAAAAGCAAAAATACGAAATACAAAMGAAAAACACCTAGAAAAGAGGAGAAAACTCGTCTGGAAGCGGTCGGTGATGTATAAAGGCTATACAAAGTACATGAAACAATCAGAACAATGCAGAGATTATTTCAAAATTAWGAAAAATCCTTTGAGATCCCGCTTTCAATGTGCTCTTTCCTTTTAAAATCGTAGTTATAGTAGTTATGCATTTCGAAATGAATGAACGTTTTAGACAAGTGTTTTAGAGCTCCTCAATCCTCCGAAATCCTTCGATTCGGAAAGTCCTGCTCTTAATTTTACACATCACTGAGGAAGTGAAGTTCATAAGGTCAGGTTGATTCGTCGGACAGTTACCATGTGGTAAAGAATTTGACCATACAAGTCAAGCAGCATTTCTTGTTAAATTGATACTCATTTTGAGGCAGGGATGCAATATGATCAGGCTGTAGATTTTAATAGTTATGGCATGCTGCGCGGAAGCGATCCAAAAGACCGTCACTTGGCTCGGGTAGCCAAAAATCTCAAGTCAGCACTTGACTCGGTGGGAAATCAACTTTGTTTGTGTGATAAATTTCAAATTTGATTCCCATTCCCTTTTCTTTCCTTTTTTCATTGCGAAGTTAATCCCAGTCATAGTTCACGAAATTCCATTTTCCCAATTAAAATAAAGAGACAAATTTCATTTTCCATCTTGACCCCTTCAGAACTTTCTTAACCCTTCCTTTTATAATTATCCTGCGTAGGATTTCTCTACCTGGGCTACCTGTGGTATAGTAATTTTCATCTTCTCCTCGTGTCTTCGTATTTATTTAAAATTTCGATTTAATTCTCTGAAGTGAGACAAATACAGAGTTTCACTCAAGAAAGAAACGGTTTCTGAATACTGAATATATGTTAACCATGAATTTTTATAAATGTTCCCTTACTCATAATCTCTATAATAATAATGGATGGCGCATGTTGAAATCCGAGGAACTGAAACGAATAAATATTCAATAGCGGTCCTTGGCTATTTRCAAATGATTGGCCATTGGCCACTTTGAATTGATGTATTTAAAAAATATTCTTACAAGTTCATAAATCTCAATCGCTTCCAAGTCCCCCTACAACATAGTCCCCTTTGGTATCAACAAACTATTCCACGGTTCCAATAAAGTACTGGCACCACTTTCTTGGTCCTCTGTGGAAACCAAATCAGGAGCGTTCCCAAAGGTAATGTCTCTTTTCTTTTGTTTATTCACATTGTTATCGAGCCTCGATTCAATGTCTGAAAGAGAGTAGCTCTTTCTCCAGGGACACAAGGGGTCCAATTGAAATGCTTTTTTACATCCGGGACAAAAGGCCGCAAGTTTGTTGGAGCTTGTCCATTTTTCATTAGTACAAACATTGCATGGYTGATCTAMYTCAACGCCGTGTCCAGGACTGCTCGCTTTACTAATATCCATTATTTGGTGGCYATTGGTATCATCTTGTGCAGAGTATGTAGTCTCATTGCACAGCGGATAGCATGTTTGAACACAGGCTGAATGTCTGCATGGGTTCTTTTCTAAATTTTCACCTTTCACCTCCTTTCTTAAAAAAAGAAATATAAGATCAGTTTAAGTCGAATGGAATGCCATACATGTCAGCCAGCATTTTTTACAGTCCCCTCAGCGCAGTACTATATCAAACGCGCGTACTCGAGTATGAAAATACATATTAGTACAACCGATTGTACTGGATGACTTACAAAGCTTTTGCTCGTTTTCTGTCGATAAGTTCTTCGTCGTTCAATTCATCCTTCTCCTTTTGACGCAGTTTCTCGTTAGCTGTTCTCAGGGCGTATTTCGTGGCTTGCAACTCTTTCCGCATGAAATTGATTACTTTCTCTACCTGAATGACAGAGTTTAAACAGCAGTCAAGACAGATTCGGTTTTATAAGTCGCTTACTATGATACTTCATCATCGTTATCTCTGCTATCATGACATCATCGGTTGTCATGCAACCTCGACATATCACAAGATCACATGATTTCGTCTAATCACTTTCATTGCTTTATCGTCACAACTCCGCCATCATTTTAATCATATAATGATTGGCATCAAATTTACATCATCAACCGTTACTTCCTTAATAATCATTTCATCATATCATCGCCACCATGGTTACGTCATCGCATCATCACAATCATGGTTACGTCATCACATCATCGCCATCATGGTTACGTCATCACATCATCGCCATCATGGTTACGTCATCACATCATCGCCATCATGTTTACGTCATTACATCACCATCATTGGTTACATCATCTTATCACATCAGTCACTAATTGAATAATTATCATCACCATAATCATTTATACGGCTATCAATATAAATGGTGCTGTTATTATTATCGTCCTTTGTCATGTGATTTCATTGAAGAGGAAATAGCAACCGATCGATACAACACTAACTTACATCTGGTTTAAGCGAGCCATCTTGACCATAAAGAGAAATAGGACGATTGTTCTCCAGTAAAGCCATTCTGTTGCTAGAATTCCCTTCGATAGGATCATCAGCACTATCAAAAATAGATAGAATATAAGATACCACAAATAACTGATAACTAACTCCTTATCATACGTATAAAACGAAAAATAAAGACTACTAATATTGACGAAATTAGAAACGGAATAGAGTCATTTCATCCGTCTGTGAAACAATTACTACTAGTCAGTGTTGAATAGTAACTATTAGGGTGTAGTAGGCTACCAAAAGGCAAAATCAAAACCGTGTTTGCCTAATTAGTTTGTCGCATGTCATAAGTTTAAATTGGGGAGCTAATAGGGAGTAATAGTATTTAATAGTACAATTCCTATTTCACAGACGGATGAACATGACTCTATTTCTGAACAATTTGCTTTTGTTATTGCGCTGTGGATATATATTCTTTGCGTTCTAACTATCATTTATTTTTTTTAATTTTAGTTTTATTTTAAAACATACGGCGCTCTTAAAGRGACATGGTCCACCAGACCAGCATTCAATGCGGTCGTGTTATTTCACATATGGAAAATAAGATGACTTCGAAATATCCATTCTCAATCCAACTCTATCCACTGGTGAAAGGTCGAATCTTACAGTATCTCCATTCATATAGTATAAAGGGATAATAAAGAGTAAGTTTTTGCTTATATTACGATGTATTTTTATTTTCAAACATGAGCAAAAACTCGAAAGGGATGCTGGTATACCATGTCCCTTTAATTACAAATTGTATTTTGTTAAACGCATGTCTTACCTACTATTTTGTGCTTGRTCTGAGTCTCTCTCGACACTCAAGTTCACACCAACATAAGCGCACTTGGGACATCTATTGGCTTGGTTGATACTCGACAAACTCAAACTTGTCACTGGTTTTCTAACGTTGCGATGTGGTTTGAACAAAAGTATATAAATTTTAGGACCAAATAGTGTCCCCAGCAGTACATAGGCAACTAAAGACACACTGATACAAAGAATTAATGAACGTTCCATGGAAGACGGTCTCATAAAGTAGATCGCCAGGAATGCTAGCCAGATTACGCATGTACAGTACATCGCRAAAGCGATGAATTTAGCCTCGTTGAAATTGCTGGGAATYTTGCGAGTTTTAAATGCATATAATGTGCATACAAGGATCAAGGCGAAGTTATAAACCTGCGAAAGACCAAAGTCCAAATCGTTRACAGCACATTCGATGTAGACGTGCGAAACAGTAGGGTAAAAKGTTGTCACTTTGGGCGTGCGTAGTAAAGCGAGCATTAGTAGAAACAGTACTTGAATGCAGACCACGCCCATTACTAATACCAACTGTGACGTAGGCAGTATCAATATCGGTCGCCTAGCAATGTTACGGCGGTTAAAAATTCGCGATATTCTGTTCGTCTTGATAAAGATCGCTGCGTAACATATACTGAAGGCGATGCTACAAGTAAAGAAACGAGCTACACACAAGATATCTGAAGGCTTGATAACAACGATGAACGTGTGAAGAAAGGAGATGAGGATWCCAACAAGGATTAGATAAGCCATTTCACGTCCTGAGGCTTTAACTATAGGCGTCTGATCGTTTCTTGCAAGCATGATGATAACAAAGATTGTGGCTATTACACCAGTGCCTGATARCACCATGGTAGGGATAGAGTACATAAGGTGAATACCAAAATACATTACTTTGATCTGTGAGCAMCCTTTGCTTTCACTCATAGGCCAATATCCCGGCGGACATTGCACRCAGGTCGTTCGATTAWATACGTACTTATTGCCGCTGCATTCAATGCATTCTGTACAGCATTTCTCTTTRCCTTTTACCGGTACTACAACCTGGTTGGATRAGCACTGTCTGTTGCATGATGACGTCACTACCTGGAATCCAGTCTCTTTTTTSAAGCTCAGTTTTTCGGCCCATTGTCCAATCGCCGTGTTTTTGTAGATATCACCATGTTTCTTAAAGTGCATAATGTCATATATTCCTTCAACGTCTCCATGGTGATCAAACTCTACTTTAAACCCAGTGCTCCCCTYGAAGGAAACATTTCTTAAATACCCCAATAARCTAGATCCAGAGATGTTCGACATTTCRTCACAAAGTCCWACAGAACCTGAGCATAATTCAGCATGCATGTCATTAAGGGCATGCGCAAATGCGCTGACTGCGTCGATGGCACTTGCTACTCTCATATCGATGTTGCTATTGGATGGAGTWAGTCTTACAGAATCATTACAGATTGATGGATATTTGTTGATCTTCTGGGTCGTCGAGTTGAGTGCACATTTAAAGTGTGTTTGCCAATACTCCGTAAACCATCGATTTCTGGAGTTATTATCCGGAGTCAAATTTACAAAATAGTCCTCAAAGTCTTTTAAACGAACACTTTTGGGTGACACKGTGATGGCGTTGCTAGCTAAATGTTGCAATTCTTTTAGCCATACAATATTYCCCCAAGCGTCACTTCCCACCCATTGTATCTTATGATTGACATTATGCTSTTCGGCAGCTTTGAGAAGACTTCTGATATGACTTTCTTGACTTGTGAACACTACCACCGTCTTGGCAAGCGGCTCGGATATGATTTTATTGATGATTTTATGTAGTGATTCGCCAKTTTTGGAAACTTTCATCATTTCAGCAATAGCAATACAGATTCCTGTTGATAAAGTACAAAAAGCATTTTAATACTTTATCATTATACAAACAAAATATTGCGTGGTGGKTTTAGAGGAGGGAGGAACTGGCTGCACCACCAGTTCGACTTTATCCCCTTCYCCTTTTTGCATGAATTGGTACCATACCAATGCAACTAACGACGCGAGTAATCTATTCTATACCAAGATTTCTACAAGTTCCATAATCGAGTCCATAACGCACCCTAGTAAATGCATACTGACCTGCTCTCTTGGTTTCCTTTTTCAGCTCCTCCATTCCATGTATGCCATACGTATCGTCACTGTACACGGCTGAGATATACGTCCAGTTAAAGTGCCTCGCTACGTCCACTATAGCTTTAGCTTGGAAKCCGTCATGTGGTACAGTTCGCGAGAAATACTTAAACTTCTTCTTATCACTCAGCTCCACACTAGTTGAATCAAAACTRATTTGCGGGATTTCAAACAGTCKCAGWAGATGTGCGATTTGAATAGACACGCTGCTGTAGCTAGCACCAATGACGCCMACAACAGGAGGGCCTRGTGACGAAGATGATAATCGACCGCTGATAAATTTGACTGCTTTGTCAAGTGCTTCTGTCTCTGATGAACAGGTGTCGTAGACTTGGACGCCTAGMGTGACGTTAGGAAGGATGTTAGGATTGGAATTGATTTGATCCACTGCAAAGAGCACAGCCTCAAGCCTCTGAACACCAAGCCTTGAATGAAGAGCACCGCACTCACAGTCTGAACTGGCCGAGCATTTAGAGTGGATTGGCACTAGTCCACCAAGAAGAATCTCCCCTTTGTTAGTGCATGTGACGTCATAGGGTATTGTTAAGGCGACCAATAGGAATACAGCCACGCCTGACATGTTTATAATCGGTTTATCTGAAAAGAGGTGACCATAATTAGCCGTCGTAATCATCGATTTATCAGTTAAGATTCGGTGATCTTTCATTAATCAAGATGTTCAGACRGGGAGTTCCCCTGAAAAAAACATTAAACGAATCCTATTACGATCTACCGCAGATCAAAACATTATCACATCATCAATCATGTCAAACACACATACTACAGCCTTTTTCCTCGTGTTAGGCAAACGAGTCTTTTAAAAATAATCCAAAATCAATTAGTCAAGGATAGCTTGTCTGCTACGTTTGTGGAAATACATTTTTGAGTGCTTTTATTGAATCAAATATCGACGTCACAAGTTAAAAGCCTAATAATCAAATCAGTTATAAAAGGCCTTCTTTCTTTTTAATACCGATTTATGTAATTATTTTCGAGGCAATGTATACCCCAGGGTTATCTTGGTTATCAGGTCATTACTCACCCTTATGTGTATAGCTACGAGCAATAACAAGAACATTACCCCCTTGCCTACCCACCCCTGGTAAGTAAGTAATTAGCACTATCAAAGACACGTGCTAAGCCCTTATTTTAACAATACCGCATTTGCCTTGCAAACCTGGCTTACTAAAATCAATAAAACTACAGACGAGGAAATCATTTGTATSAATGCCACATTAGTGAATACCATACTGGCTCGTTTGTAGCTTGGCAACAAACTAAATATAGGTCTCGTTGAACGATTGATATTACATCATTCTCCTATAACAATAAAATGTTAAAAAATAAAAATAAAGTGAAATTCGATTAAATTCTATTTTATGTATAAGTTCATCTGGACGCTGTATCTATTAAATATTTTCTATAAGTATTGTTATTAACAGCGGGTTTTTCTATGTCTATCTGGTCAGAACAATGATTTAATTAGTATACTGGATCTGAGAAACATATTCTTGAATAACATATTTACAAAACACTTGCAGTGAGCCCTGAATAAGTCGCCAGTAGTAAATACAAATACCATGATCCCTTCTAATAACCCCAAGCGAAATTGTTACCTAAAGATATATGAGTTCGGTTCTTAATGTAGCAAGGCTAGCGCGGCCATTTGTATGTTAACTTCAAGTGGAGTCGGATGTGCACTTACTAAAACGTCACCGCATCAACACGCCAAAGTAGAAGTCTAGTACAGTGAAAGGCTATTTCGTATTGCTATACCTTGTGCTGTGTGTTCTTTTGCTACTGTTCCTTTACATGCACTAGAGATACTTGTTTTGAAGTAAACAGCCCACGCGCTCGGTCAACGTGGTCTCGCTCTACCCACGGAAACACAAACTTGTTTCTAAACCGGATTTCTGGTTGGGTGATCAATTTTATGGCGGGTCTTTTTTTCTAAAGATAAAACTTTATCGCTAAAACCTTTGCAGCTGATGAAAGGCGTTGAGTGTTTTCCTGTGGAGTKGGCAACAACGTCTCTCAAACGTAGACAAGTTCCTAATGTTGTATATTGAGATTTATGAGGTATTCAGAATTGTTAGTGCCCTCTAGTTGCCCAAATATGTGCCCTTGATAACAAAGCTCCTCACGATACACTACAATTGTAGATCCCTAGCCCATAGTTAATAGACTATAACTAACTAACTAAGCCTAGACTAAATACACTAAGCAAACAACTATGTTTTTTTCCGAAAAAGAGTTACACAAGCGATGACACGCATCAAATATAGGAAGAAATATTTTCTTTGGTTAATTCAAACACTATGTCGTAATTTCGTCTGAGTAATGAAAAATTATATAGATTGTTCTTTTCATAAAGATATTCAGTAATATATAAAAGCAAGCATCCGTTTTACCTTGCGATGCTGTTTGCGGTGGGCTTCTTTTTTCGTTTTGTTGTTTTGTTCTGTTTTCGAGTTCTAATTATGCACACCATTTGTTTACTTTTCTCCTCTCATTCATTAAAATTGTGAATACGATTATTCTGGATTACAGGCAAGGATTTCGGCTGCGATAATTGTAAAAAGGTTTTAGGATCTAAGGGGTCTTTTTTCTATGGACGGATATCGTGGTGTGAATAGAGATCGAATTTGACTGCAAATTTAAAGTGAAAAGAAATGAAAATTAATAATAAAGTCGGAATATAGAACGCTGCTGAAACGAAAGTGCTATTTTTAATATAACTTAATAAAAAAGGAACCGAAATAGCGCTTTGATTATTTGTCACGTAGAAAAGTATATCACATTTCTGTAAATAACTACGGAAGATGCTTCAACGGAAAGCGACATCCGTTTTGTGAACTGAAAAAGAAATCCATCAAAAGGAGAAAAGAAAAACTCAGTTTGAATTATATTAATGAAAGCCCTTTTTATTTGCCATTTTGCACATTGTGTCTTAGCTGAACTTGACGATTTCGACAGGGAATAGAGTACAAGCGGTGACATTGTAGATGACGGTAAGTGAGGCATACTATGAGGCGCTGGTCGCACTATGTACAAAGATGTGACATTTCTGGCACAAAATACACCTATTGTTGACACATTCACTAAGCCAATTCTAAATTAACAATGCATTAGTCATCCGAAACAGATGCACAAAGGTCTTACTGGGCAAAAACTAGTGTTTTTCAGAAATCTGTTAACGATATATACAACGCAAACTTTTTGTTTTGTTTTCAAGATTTTCTTCTAAACATTTTTTTTTTCATATTTGGAATTCTTTTCTTTCAGAATATGTATAATTGGACGTACTTTCCTTAGTGTCAATTATTTTCCTACCTTCTTTTACTTCAGTTTTGTCGATGTTTTTGTCTATTTACTTAAATCAAGTCAAACACAAAGACAACGGCTTTTAAGTACCAATGGTGGTGATCTGAAATTACCAAAAAAACACCCGCCGCTGAAGGAAAGATGCAAACTTCGAGTGTTACGTTACACCTACTTAGGCAACTATGCACCTYTTACTACTAGCGAGTCGCATGAGTAATAATAAGGAGACTGTTTTCGCGCGTGCTTTCATTACGGTGCCAAAATATCCATCATGCATAGCGGATAGCAGCTTTATACTTATTAAGTAATGCCCCGAGTAAGAACTAGGGAAGCAAACGGCAAAGGAATGCAATAAGGTGCTAATTGCGCATTGTATAATCCATCCATCCCATTGGTTAAAACATGAAAATCTGCTATAATTTCACAAGTTAGCGAATTTTCTAATATTTTATTTAATRTCTGTTTTCGCTTTCATKAAAGCTTTCTTTAGCTTYAATATTAAGGCAATTCTAYGTGGGGAACATWGCAAATTAGAAGCATCTTTTGGCTATTGTTTTGAGTGCTTATGATTGGATAAGAGCTTTTAATACAAAAGAAACTTTGTTTCAAAATAGAGTTTAACCACATTTTATTTCAAAAATGTGTTACCCACAGATGGATACATGATCAGTGTGAAAACCAAGACATTCGTACATGGKSAACTTGCTATGCCGCAGAACAATAGAGAGTTCCCTAGTTCTTTAGCGCATTGTTACTTAAGMTGTTGACAAATGATTTTCTAAATGTTAGATATTTTTTTCATTGGCTTACGAAATGCGCTTTTTTTCTCAGCAGCGTGTAAGAAAGTGAAAGACCATGTGGGCTTATAAGCCCAACTAAAATGTATCTATTTATGTATTTTGCTTCTAGGTTGACGCAATATCCTCTTGTTTGCATTGAACCGGGTACATGTGAAAATGATTGTTTGAAACAGGTCTTCATAGTCGTTTAGTTATAATCAAGATTCAAATTAGAAAAAAATGTACTTAAAATGAGAAGTCGATTAAGCTATACGGGAAAAACAGAAAATCATAACTAGGCACTCAATGAATTAGGAAACGCGGCCTCCTCGACATCACCTCGCACGCCATTCCATGAGTTCCCAGTCAACACATGCGCACTGAATTCTCCATAATTAGCTGCGCATGTGTTTATCCTAATTCAATCATGGAACACTCCGTTTATACTAGCTGTTAATCAGACCCCTCCGGCTGTCTTGTCCTATGATCTGAGCTACAGGTATAACGGTCCATTCAACCTAGGGGCAAAGCTAATAAATTCAAAGCTAATAAATATAGTAGTGTTTGAATACTGAAACAACACAGTTTGAGAATGTGATATGCTTATTACTAATCACAAATTCAATATCTTTTTTTGAAATTTCTGTTGGCATTTTTATACCATGTTCGTTTTGTTTTTCTTACTGTATTTATTTGTAATGTAATACGCGTGTARAGCTTAAGAGTTTTTTTCCGGTCCGAACTAAAAAAGCGACAAGCAGTGGGAAAAAGAGTTTTAGCAGAGGTCGCGCCCACCTTTCTATCACATGAATAATAAAACAACCATTGTATTGTGATCTGTCATGAATACAAATAAAATTATACAAAAACTCAAAGGATTATGATATATAGCAGCTGATTCTATGACAAACACAGATGGAAAGCGATAGCTCAATGCTATTTAAAAAAATAAGTGCATAAAAAATAAGCTAAAGAAATGGTCATAATTCGATTCATTTGCCCTTGAACCAAATGTTTTTTGGTGTCCTGTTTGTCCCTTTTAAGGAATCTATGAGTATAATTCTGAAAGTTCTTACATTACATGATTTCATAGAAACAACTTCCTCATCAAACACATTTATATTCAACAGTAAATGAGAACGAAAACAAAAAAGCACATGGAATACTACACGTATGCACTACAAAATAAGCTTAATTCGATACGAGGAAGTGGTTTTAAATTGTGAAAAAGAAATTAGTTTACACATGTTTAACTTCGCTTTCTTTTCAACTGAATGCAAACTACAGAAAAGATAAGAAACGTAAAATAAAACAATCGAAAAAATATGTGTTTAATTTATTGTGAATTTTTCAGTAGTTTTCCTGTTGATGATTCATTGTGACTCACACACTAGGGTAAGGTGAACGATGTGATGGAGTTGAATGTTTAGAATTTCGCTGGATAATTAATCTCCAAAATCATCGTCTAAATTCTTTTAAATCATTAAATATAAGAATAATAGGCATCTTAAACTTCAATTTCAATTGAACTATAGAAACTCCCCAGGGAGAATTGCTTTAAACTTAAGTTAACGAACTTAATTATTATAGCCAAGCCACTTCCTATTAGATTTTCGAAAAACTGCTATTTAGCTTCCAGGCGAACACCAAAACAACAACACCAAAAGAAAAACAAAACAAAACAAAACAAAAAAACCTCACGAGAAACTATTGTATATCATTTTTAGGATCAAACAGTTAATTTTTTGTTTTCATAAAAAGTGTGATTGTGGCCTCATGAATGAAACGCGTGTACTCACTGGTAAAATTCGCGCCAAAATAAAGACTACTTCATCTCAATAGCTCAGAGCACAAGCAAATCCAACACATTTTGACGCTTACCTTTATACTAGACTTTTTTATCCTTTAAGAGTTTAATGAAGCTGTTTTTGTCTTGTTGTCTTGAACATCGAAGACACACCTCGACCAGTTCGCTTCAACAAAGCAAATGGCTTGCACGAGAATTTTTAATGTTGAGCCAACTAATTTGTGTAAGCTCGTGGCGTCGTTTAGGCCATTAAGATCCCCCGCCTCTTTAATTTGAAGGCTATTGCGACAGGCTGTCTTAATGACTTGTTTTCCAGTAAACAGCTTCAATATGAGACGTCAGACCAGATCAATTGAGGTAACAAAATCCGATAAACGGTTAAACATGAATTCCTTGTATCGTCGCGTGTTTTCACCTCGGAAAACACTTTCCGGAAAACGATTGACCTTTGGTTAGTCTCCCAGACTCTTTTTCAAGTTTTTAAAGTCAAAGCTTGGCCAACAAACGYGGCATACTTTAAGATATCATCTGATTTTTTGGTCGATTYKACTTAAGTTATGTTTTGGCCTAATTTTACATGTGCTATAGCTTCAGCGCGAGTTCAATCAATCGTCTTTGTTCTGGTTTTGCAGGTGGCCGTCTCAACAGGTGTCCGGATATCGTCGCAACAGGGAAATCGTAGATTGAAGGAAGCATAAATTTTGATACGTCACTGGCACAAAAGGATTCCACAAAAAGAGACAGATATTGATTCTGGAAATGCACCGCCAGTCGACCGCCAGTCCCGCCAGCGCGCGCGCGCGATAGTCTAATTCGTTTACGGACGGTCTACGAAGATCAAACGAGACTTTCCCGAAGATCAAGGCCTGTCGTAGCCGACACTGGTGAAAAACGCACTGCGCATGCCCACAGCTTTCCCGCCAGTGGGCGCTCGCGTCTTG